ATCCATTTCGACCGCATGAGGAGAATGAAGAGATACTCGGTCCTGAAGTACCGTATCTAAGTGCAATTGGAGCCCTTATGTATCTTGCAAATTGCACTCGACCTGATATATCATTTTCAGTCAATCTTTTGGCTAGATTTAGTTCATCCCCTACACGAAGACATTGGAACGGAATTAAACATGTCTTTCGTTATCTTCAAGGGACTATTGATTTAGGGTTATTTTATCCTAAAAATATAAATGGTCAAATGATTGGTTTTGCAGATGCAGGATATTTATCAGATCCACACAAAGCTCGATCCCAAACAGGATACGTATTCACGATTGGAGGTACTGCTATATCATGGCGTTCTCAGAAGCAGACACTTGTAGCTACTTCTTCAAATCATGCTGAAATCATCGCACTCCATGAAGCGAGTAGAGAATGCGTGTGGCTAAGATCAATAAGTCGACATATTCAAACCAGTAGTGGAATTAGTCTGAATACAGAGCCAACTATCTTGTATGAAGACAATGCTGCATGTGTTGCTCAGACAAAGGAAGGATATATCAAAAGCGATAGAACCAAACATATCCCTCCAAAGTTCTTTTCATACACCCAAGAACTCGTGAAGAATAAAGACATTGAAGTAAAATATGTCCGATCATCCGAGAATTCTGCGGATCTCTTCACGAAATCATTACCCACCTCTATATTCAGGAAACATGTTCATAACATTGGAATGCGTCGTCAACAAGACTGTAAGTTATGATCCTGATCATTCGAGGGGGAGCTTGCGCGGTTGCACTCTTTTTACCTATTATGGTTTTTCCCACCGGGTTTTCCTAGAAAGGTTTTTAACGAGGCAACATAAAATATTACGCAAGAGACATAGTGACACTGGTCTCCAAGGGGGAGTGTTGTAAAAGTCAAGGAAAGCTGCAACATCAAATACACATGCGTAAACGATCGTAAAATAATATTTTGTGTGGAGCCCACCGTCACTATGCATGCATAGTAACTTACTTTTTCCTGCCTATATAAACGAATGAATTCGTTCGTTGTAAATCACATTTTCATACTTCAACAATAAGAAGTTATAAGAATTCTCTCTCCTCCTCTCATCTCTTTATTTTCAGTATCCCGATCCTTCTGCGGGTATAATTCTTTCTCCATTATTTATATTTATATACACCATATAATAAAGTAATTATTATAACAACTATTGATTATTGTAAAAAAAACTCGAGTTAGATTTCCCCGAACGTGTGGCCGCGAGGAACAACAGATGGGATGAGACATGTCGCACATGAGCAATTCAATAGTTACATGTATCTAGATTGACCATTCAATTTAAATATAGTTGTTCAACTAAACAAATTATAATAATCCTTTATGTCATCAACGAATCATAATCATTATCCAGCAATACAATCTTTTTTGTTCTTCTATTATGGTCTAGTGATCTTTTGGCTCCATGTTGGAGAAATCAGCCATAACCAAAAGTATTCCTGTTCTAAAAATTTCTGCCTACCCCGATTACTCTCCGCTTAATCGCTAGATCCACTTTCTCCGCATCGATTAATGACTAATCCTTTAAGAAATCAGTCACCCGATTACTCTCCGTTTTATCCGATTAATTCCCGCCTAATCCAATTTCCGCATATTCTTACATATTCCGATTATTTTTTTATTGCAAGTATAAAACAACTTTTTTTTTTTGTTATTCAAATATTTGAATTGGAAGTTTGTGATATTTTACAATAATTTATGTTCAAATTTTAATAAAAATCATAATTTTTAAGAGTAATTACACTACATATCTTAAGACTGAGAAGTATTTAAGTCAAAGGAGAAGTGACAAACCTGTAAATGATCATTTGAAAACATGACAAAAAGACTAAAATACCCCTAAAATCAAACACTTCATTCTTTCTTTATTCCTTCTTCTTTTCTCTTTCCTTTTATTATTTATTTTCTTCTTTTTCTTTTTTCTTTACTTTATAAAAACCCCAAACAAATGATTCTTCTTAATTGTAAAACTGATTGCATCTAAAATTATGATATTTTGAATTCAATAAACTCGTTGCATTTTTCTGATTAAAATGTACTCCATAAACCTTAAAAAAATTTTGGTATAGAGACGTCGTATGTTTGGGTGTCGTTCGTTATTATTGAGCTTCTGTTAGAGATGATTTGAGACACCGTCAACCGACGACGCTAAGAACAAATCTAGTGATGGTTAAGCATCTTTGTCTCTCAATTCATTTATCGTCATAGTCTCACCTATGTCATCGCCAATATAATTTCTATCCCGTTCACTATAACCACCTTCTCTTCAACCGCAATATATTCTTCATTCACATCACTATCACCTCCTCCGCCACTAACATACAATTCAACACAACCACTACAATGTTAAATTTACTTCACTCACCTATCACAACCACTACAATGTTCTATAGTGATATATCATATGTAAACAATATTAATAGAATATTACGATGTATTGATATATATCCATGTATCCGATAAAAAACAAGATATCACGACATTTAATTATGTAGTAGAATATATTATCGATGGAAGCATTTAATAAGTGGTGGCCCACTGTAAGTTCCATGACGCATATATCTTCTACAGAAAATTTCCGCTTTTAATTTGAGGGGCAATTTCGTCCGAATTTTACCAAACCAAAGTTTTCTCTCTCTTGTTTTGCAAAGAAAAAAACTTATGTATGTCACACCTAATTATTTCTCAAATAATTAGCATGCAGCTAATTGACTCATTTTTTAATAAAAAATCATAAAAATTTGCCTTAAAATATATTTTTATGTGTTTACTGAAATTTTGAAAACAATATTAGATTAATATATTTTTAAAATATTAAAATAACTCTAAAACTAGTCCCCGATTTTAATCTGATTTTCCGATTAATCGCTAAGCTCATACCGAACGCCCGATTAGCGCCTAGTAGAACATCATGTAGAACATCATTCGTCAACTTTCTTTTTTTTTTTTTGTTTTTGTTTTTATATTCATTTAGTCTCACTTTTACAGAGATTCGTCACCTCCTCCTCCAAGTCTTTTCTAAATGTCTCTCACTATTGTAAAGTTTTCAGAACCCTAGGGGTTGCATTCTGAAACACAAATCCGCCCAAAACAATGTCGTTTGCTCCGTTTTATATTTATTAGATAATCATCCACGCTACGCGTTGATTTGTTTTGAAGATTGTTAAAAAAAAATTATGTCGAATGTTTTTATTGCTAATTTATGTTTTTTATTTGTTTGTTATCGTATAGTTAATAAAATTAGATTCATCTTATGTAGTTACAATTTTTGTGGTTACATTTATTTTTGACCTGAAATATCAATTTATGCATTTTCATGTATAAATTTGATTATTTATATATCTAAGATCATAATATTTTTCATTATCATGACTACATACAATAATAATATAGAATATTTTGATACAGTAATATATAATTATGTTACTTGTGTGGTTTGAAACTTGTCTAACTTAATTATAAAAAAAAAAATCATTGCTCTATTAACTCTCCTGATCTAGTACCCCGACCACATCATAATAGGTTCATGATTAAATACTGGATTGACATAATTTGAACAAGATCTGAAGAGTTTTCATATTAAAAGAAAAAAAAGAAAGCAAAAAATTAAAGAGTCATTTATCATCACTTTTAGTCGTGTCTTGAATTCCTTAGTATGTCTAACATCTCAAAGATTTAAGGTAAAATTATTAAACTAATAAGATTGCATACAACACATATTTATCGTATATGAACCATAAAACGTAATAATGAGAAAAGATTTAAGGTAAAATTATTAAACTAATAAGATGTTAGAGAGCAAACAACTAAACTACAACACATATTTATTTTTAGTTATTAGTCACCATTGATAAAAAGAAAAAAATTTAGTAAAATAAGAAGAGTAAAATGAAGAACTTTATAATTTTATAATATTAACATAATTTTATAATTTTCATATTTTGAAGAAATAAGTTAAGAGTAGCATTTAAGAGGATTTAATACAATAAAGAACTTTTATTTTTTTCATTTAATTTTGCAAATTTTTTTATTTAAATAATGTAAAATGACACATGTCATTTGCTTGTGTGATGATGTGGCACTCATATGGAGAGAGTTGGCCAACTTTCATATATATGATTGTATATTTTCCGTAACTTTAAACATGCATTTAAGTGTTTTTAAAAGAGTTCATTTCTATTAACCAAAATTGAGTTATTCAATAATGCTTTGACAAAGCTTTTCATTAATTTGACAAAGCTTTTCATTTAGTGAAAAGCTTTGTCAAAGCATTATTGAAATATTTATATAAAAACTTTACATGAAAATATAATATAGGATTATCTAATTACTTTTTTTTATTGCTCTCTAGTAGTTTAATCAAAAAAAAAAATCAAACTTAGAAATGGAATCAAAGCATATATTACAAATATTTTGACCAACTCGAATTTTGGTTATATAAATGCACATAAGGCATGCAATCTCTTATTTTAATTATAAACAACATGTTAATGCGCTATATGTTTAAGCACTGATCATTCATCATACTAAACCTACCTACATTGCTTACAGTGCCGGCTCAAATAGGGGGCGAGCGGTGCGACGGCCAGAGGTCCAATTCCATGTTCCAATAATTAAGGGGTCTATTTTTTTTTTTTTTTATAAAAGTATTAAAATTTTAAATTACAACATAAAAATAAAATTTAGAAGGGCCCATAAATTTTTTTATTATTGTTTTTAGTTTTAATAATTAACTTTTTAATAAAAATATCATACAATTTTTTTATATAACACAAAAAACAAAAAAAAAAAATTCTAAGGACCTAAATTTTTTTTTGCCCTAGGGCCTATAATACTGTTGAGCCTTTGCTTATTTTACGCTAAGCCACACTAATCTCATCAACTATATTAACATTAAAAAAAAATCAAATAAAAAAAGAGAATTTATGAGTATTGCGACCAATGTGCGGACACTGTATGATAGAGAAACAACGTGGCACTGTCTGCTACAAGTCCACATCTTACTTTCTCTCTCTATCTCTTGTTTCTTAGTGGACTGTGTTATTATTGTTATTGGCACAGACCAAACCCACTTGGCTCCTTCATTAGATTTTTTTCTCTCTTGGAAATTGATGGTCAATAGGAAACACAATTCTCTCTTTCTCTATCTAGAAGGACCAATAGTGTCTTCTCTCTCCTCTTTTTCTCTCTTTCCATTAGTAAAGACCTAAACTTTATTTTCTTTTCTTGCTGAGTTTAATCTCTTCTTAAATGGGTCTAAATCAGTTTTTCCTTTAATTTATTGCTTGTAGTCTTGAGATTTTTTTTTGTCGGGTAGTCTTGAGATTAGTCTAGTAGGTTTTGGTGGGCTATCACTAATACAAAGTCAAAGTCAAAATTTTTTAAAGGTTTGAACTTAGGTAGAGATACTTATCATCTTCATTTTCTTCTCCATAGGTTTATGAGAAGCTAAAGCTATGATGATTTCTTTAATCAAAATAGCTTAGGGTTTTGTAGAGAGATTAGTGAGAAACTTTATAATCTTTGTTTAAGAGAGAAGTTATAAAAAAAAAGATTAGGGTTTTTGTTTCTTCAGAAGCTTCAAGATCAGAAGAGATGGAAGTTAGAGAGAAGAAAGATGAGAAAATGGAGATGACAAGAAGACAATCATCAGCTCTAGATCATCATCGTCTTCCTCCGTACACTTACCCCCAAACCGCCGACAAAGAGAAACCCACCACCAAAAGAAACGGCTCGGAACCGGATCCGGATCCGGATCTTGATACCAACCCAATTTCTATAGCTCCTGCTCCAAGATCATACGTTAGGCCTCAAACTACTTCTCCGGGGAAGGCGAGGTATAGAGAATGCCAAAAGAACCACGCGGCGAGCTCCGGTGGCCACGTGGTAGACGGTTGCGGCGAGTTTATGCCATCCGGTGAAGAGGGTACGGCGGAGTCTCTTCGTTGTGCAGCTTGTGATTGTCATCGGAGCTTCCATAGAAAAGAGATCGATGGTTTGTTTGTTGTCAATTTCAATAGCTTTGGCCATTCACAGAGGCCGCTCGTTAGCCGCCACGTGTCTCCGATAATGATGAGCTTCGGTGGTGGTGGTGGTGCGGCGGAGTCATCGACGGAGGATCTAAACAAGTTTCACCAATCTTTTAGTGGTAATGGAGTGGATCAGTTTCATCAGTATCAACCCAAGAAACGGTTTAGGACAAAGTTTAATGAAGAACAGAAAGAGAAGATGATGGAGTTTGCTGAGAAGATTGGTTGGAGAATGACTAAACAAGAAGACGATGAAGTGAATCGGTTTTGTCGTGAGATTAATGTGAAAAGACAAGTGTTTAAAGTTTGGATGCACAACAATAAACAAGCATCAAAGAAGAAGGATTTGTAAGAGACTCTATATATACTATTTTTACTTCTCTTTGTTCAACATTTCTTAGCTTAAAGACGTTGTTTACATTTTGAAAAGGAGACTCTGTTAGATTCAGCATTGTTGTATAACAAATTGATTTTAGAGCTCAGCATAACGGTCTCTTATTTCTCCCGCAACTTGAGAAGCCTTTTTCTTTGCGGTTTCATAAGCGTGTTTTGTGGATTCTTTGGCTGTACCGTACTTTTCGCCGACTTTTTCCATGGCTTCTTCGAATCCCCTAGCTGCTTCATCTTTGGCATTGTGTGATTTGTCTTTCATGTAGTTAATAGAATCATCCATTGCTCTTGTTGCTTTGTCTTTACCATACTCCATTGCACGTTCGGCTTTATCTGCGGCCATGTCTTTGGCACTCTTTGACTTCTCTTTAGCTCCTTCATAAGCTTCACCACTCTTGTCTGTAGCCATCCTAATCACATCACCGGTCTTGTCGTATCCGTAACCCGCCTTGTCATATGCAAAGTCTTTTGCATCTTGCGCTTTTTCGTAAGCTAAGTCTTTCGCATTGCCAGCCTTCTTGTAGGCGAAGTCTTTGGCCTCACCAGCTTTCTCATAACTAGAATCCTTTGCCTTCTGCGCAATGCCATAAGCAGATCCCACCTTATCATATGCCATGTCCTTGGCATTGCCTGCCTTATCATAGGCCATGCCCTTGGCAATGCCCGCCTTCTCATAGGCGCCGTCCTTGGCATTGCCTGTTTTCTCGTAGGCCATGTCCTTTACATTGCCCGCCTTTTCATAGGCAATGTCCTTAGCATCACCGACCTTATCATAGCCGGAGTCCATCAATTTCTGCGCACTTCCATAAGCATCCCCCGCTTTTTCGTAGGCCATGTCTTTTGCTATGCTGGCCTTCTCATATGCCATGTCCTTTGCATAGGGCGCCTTCTCATAGGCCATGTCCTTTGCATCACCAGCCTTATCATAACCAGAGTCCATCATACTCTTCGCACTTCCGTAAGCAGCTCCTACCTTATCATATGTGAAATCCTTTACATGTTCCGCCTTCTCGTAGGCCATGTCCTTTGCATTGCCAGCCTTCTCAAAGGCAAAATCCTTCGCGTAGCCTCCCTTATCATAGGCCATGTCCTTTGCATTGCCTGCCTTATCATAGGCGAAATCCTTAGCATAGCCCGCATTTTCGTAGGCCATGTCCTTTGCATCACCAGCCTTATCATAAGCGAAATCCTTCGCATAGCCCGCATTTTCGCAGGCCATGTTTTTTGCATCACCAGTCTTGTCATAAGCAAAATCTTTTGCGTATTGTGCCTTGTTCTCGGCAAAATCCTTAGCGTAACCTGCATTGTCGTGAGCAGAGTCCTTAACGTATTTTGCCTTGTCATAAGCATAGTTTTCCGCGGCTCGGGCCGCTTTTCTTGCTTCGTCTTTAGTTTTTTGATAAATTCCTGTTTCCTCTTTCTTGGTACCAAATCCACTGGAAAAAGAAGTAAAGCGTTACCTCTCAAGTCTCAATCACTCACTTAATTACGGCCAAATACGTGCATATATATCCAATGTAGTCAACGAATCTAAAGATTCCAATAAAAAAAACGCAACAAGACATTACCAATCTCACTAACCACCAACTTACTGAGTTATGACCAAAATGTGAGAAATTATAGACCGAATTGACTCAACGTGAAGGTTACGTAAACGACTGACTCGACCAGTCTCAGATATTACTTACGTGGTGATTTTGTCGGAGACCCAACCAGCCCATGAACCGGTCTTTTCCTTGGCCGTCGACTCTGCCCATTTCCCCAAAACACCCTCCTGCCACGTCATCACCACCACTACAACGAGCAATACCAATGCCGTTCTTCTTCTCTCCATCATCTCTTTTAACCGGTGATTACGAATCGAACTTGTTTGAATTTGATGACCAATTTATTTTTGTCCCTTTTTAAATGTTTTGATTCTTAGTTCCAATGTCCTCGGAAGTTATAGTTATAGAGAGACGTTCGAATCCAAAGACCAGAGGTCTTTCCGAGAAGCGGTTACTATTCGCCACGTGTTTTTACGAGGTTACGTGGCGACCAAGGATGCGGTTTTGTTGTGAAGCTTTCTCTGAGTACTCGCCACGTGTCCTATTATACGGCTGGCCGTGTTCCCCTCGGAGACCACACTTTGAAAAGAATAGAGAGGTCAGATGTGTCTGAAGCGGTTTACATAATCGGGCTGGTCAAAACTAAGATTAAAATTGGACAAAATTCCAGATAACCGTAATTGAACCGGTTTCTTAAACAATATCACTATTTCAGTTTTATAGAATCGAAACTACGGTGATTCGGTGATACAAAAAATCTACGCAAACGATTGGCCACCTTCAGTCGCAAGTCTGATTCTCTGGTGATGTTCTTCGATTTTATAATCCACAATCTCTTCAAAAAGCTGGGAATCCAAGACGCAATCCGGTCGTCCGTATACCGCAGCTTGAACGCCGGCGACAAGCTTAGCGATTTCACGACCAGAGAAGCCTTCTGTCTTTTTTGCAGCTTCTTTGATCACTTGGTCGGTTAGGTCTCCTTCAATGGTTATCTTCTGTGACTTCTTTTTCTTGAACAAGTTGCTCCATTTAAGGTTCGAGTCTTTCTCACCTTTCTTGTCTTCACCCATTAGGTACTTGTTGAGATAGAGCTTGAGGAGCTTGAAGCGTTCTTCTTCACCAGGGAGAGGAAACTCGATTACTTCGTCGATCCTGTCAGTGACTGCACTGTCCAGATCTCCGGGTCTGTTTGTAGCCAGGACAAGAACTATGTCCCGTGATTGATCACCGGTTCGAAAGAGCAACGCGTTCAGAGCGCTGCGCTGAGCCTCACTCATGTAAGTGCTGTTACGTCTGCAATAAAAGATCAAGAATTTGATAACTATTAAGAGAAAAGAACTCTGGAGATACAGTAGAAGTAACAATGAGCTTTGGTAAGGGAGTAAATCCATGAACAATCCACTGATCCTACTCCGACTATACTACATTGTGGAATTGTGCTGGTAAAAATTTGCAATCAGAATAGTTGTTCAACTATATTCTATATTTTAGAGTTCTAGTAGATGAGAATCAGTAATATATCAAAAGGCTTGAGGAAAAAGGTGAAAGCATCTTACTCGCATAGGAAAGCATCAGCTTCATCGATGAAAAGCAGTAACCCTTTGTTTGATTTCTTAGCCCAATCAAATATTTCATGGATCTTTGTAACAGCCTGTGCACCAAGAGGAGCAACATCTCCTCCTGTCATCATAGCATAATCAAGACCCTGCAGCACAATATAATCAAACAGATGTAAGTGAGGCATGTAATGGGTCAATCTATTGTAGATTCATGAAAGTGGCTCAAGTTCTCAGTTGCATAAAGAAAACTAACTCACCGATTTCCGAGCAATCTCCCTCGCCACCAAAGTTTTTCCGGTACCAGGAGGCCCATAAAACATCATGTTTCGGAATGGTGCTTTATGAGACTTGGTATTTGCTGTGGCTCTAGCAAGACGCTCAATTCTCGTCTTCAAAGAACGATGAAGAATTACATTTTCAAGGGGCTTTTCACCTTCTGCAGATGCTGCTGCCCCTGCAGCTTTGCTAAGTTTGTTCTTAAACTGAGACACTGAGCCTGCCCATGGGAATCTACCCATGGACGATTCTCTGATCAGTGATGGCTGCCCAAGAATTCTGTTAATATAACCCCAGGTAACCCTAGCACCCTCTCTGTTGTCAAAAAAAGAACGATTAGGCTTCTTTAATCACAGCTGTATAGGTTTTAAAAATGAGATATAAATTGCATAGTTAAGCAATGCATACCGAGTTGTGTAAACCCCAGCAGCTAATGCCGTAATTCCTCCAACAGTCATAATCAATTTACTTCGATCAGTTAATAAGGTCCTTACTCCTCCTGCCAAGTTCATATAGGGAAAATGAATATGAAGTCACATTTTCCAAAATATCAGAAGCATATATCTTCCTGGTTGATTAATTTCAGAACAATCTTGGGAACCAAAAATAAAGAACAAACTAGAAAAACGAGAGAATCTAAGTATAACATGATGTGTATATCTCAGGAACGATGCTTATTAGTTTCATACCTTCAATATGACTGAAGGTTGTGTTGATTGCTGCAAGCCATTTCTCCCTTTCACCATTTATCTTATCTACAAGCATTCTTCTATTCTGCTCCTCAGTAAGTTTAGCTTCATGAGCTCGGCCTTCAGCCTCAGCCATGGCTTTAACGCGAATTGTTTCTCTCTCAAGTTCAGCTCTCTCTTTCTCAGTCTGGCGCTGCTGTGCTTGAATCTGTTGTTCCGTGGCAATTCTTGCTTTCTCTTTCCGTATAGAAGACTCCTCTTGCATCGAAACCAATTCAGCATTATGCCGTCTCTGAGCTTCATTATCAGTCTGCAAAATTTCCAAGTCAAAGACTTCTTCTCAGTAAAAAACCATCACAAGAGGAATCCTTAAAATGTTAAACATAGGTTCACAGTTTCTTTCTAAAAAAGTACCTGCAGTCGCTTCCTTGCCAACTCATCCTCATATCGTAGCATTTGCGCTTTCGCTTGTGCCTGTTGCTGCACTAAATTTCTCTGATCCTCAGCCAATTTCCGCTGTCTTTCCTGCACATTCAAAGCCCCACAATACAATCATCATTGTAACTTGAAAGATTATGCAAAAATCAGCTAAAACCTCCATGCTCAAATTTGCAATAGAAAACCTAAGGAAGAGCAAGTTACTAACAATGTCCTTGTGTGCTTGAATAGCTTCATTATGTTCTTTCTCAGCAGCTAATTCAGCTAATCGAGTCTTCTCCTGCTTTCGCATTAGATCAAACACCTGGTGAACACAATAACATGTAAGCAACGTCTCAAACACACACCAATCAACGACTATAGAGCTTGTTGATTTCTTCGTAAGAGATTCAAGTATCACCTGTTTGGAGTGAGGAGAGCTATTGATTTCACGAAGAGCTTTAGCACCTCTTTCCAAAGACTCAGGATCGAAACCAGATCCTTTAGGTTCATCGGAGTCAGGTTTAGTCTCATTCGATGACGACTTTTGATCGGTTGGAGATTCTTCTGCCGGAGGTGAAGAAGAGAAGAAAGGAAAGCGGAACCGTGAGTCAGCGTAAGCGCGGTTCTGTGACATCGACATTGAAGTAAACGCAGCAGCTATCGCCGCCGCCGAACATAATCTAGAAGCAGCCATTGAAATGCGACTAAAAGCAGCTTCACAAACTCAAGCAAGAAACAGAAGTCCTTTTACAATTCAAACATTTCGGAATGAGAAAATGGTGCTCTCAAGGTTTATGGAAATGGTTGTGGATAGTCGTCGGAAAAGTTTCTCCGGCAGGCACGAGCATAAACCCCACGGTGGCTAGGTTATGACTGAGTTGTGATTTTGTGAATGTATGACACATCGGGACTCGGGAGACTACTCGAATCCAGAGGTGGGCCAAGATTTTAAATATAGGCCCATCTTTGAGCCCATCTTTAAGGCCACTTTTCACCTAGGTCCTTTGATAGATTAGAATTAAAAGTTAAAACTTTGAAGGTTTATTCTTTTTTTTGAAAAAAATATAATTTATAAAAGGTTGAAATTTTTATTTCATTGATCCAAAATCTAATTTAAAAAAATGTGTTTCATTTAAACTCAGGAATATAAATTATGTTCAATGATATTGTTAGTACTATTTTTCGTTTGAGCATATATTTTATTTTTGTCCTTAACTTTATTTATTTATGAAATATAGAAATCTAAATTTATTTGATTTTCTAGGATTTTATTTATTTTTCAAAAACTGAAATTTTTTTAAAATAAATTGGAATGCATGAAAAAAAAAAAAGTTTAATAGTTTGTTTGCTTCACATGATCAAAATTCGAACTGCATTCCATGTAAAAGTTCCCGCCTAAAATTTCTTTACATAACCCGAAGGATTAGCAGTCATAATTGTTCGTTATCAAATTTCGAAACATTCATCTTCTCCTCTCTCACTGAACATCAATCATTTTGTTTCGTGAATCCTTCGGTTTCAGTATGAAGATTATGTTTATTGATCTCATGCTATGAAATTCTCTTTGATGTTGTTTGATCAAGGTATAGTGCAAAAATAAGCCTTGCGTTTCTCTGTCAACTTCGATTTATAAGAAGTTTGAACGACCAAATCTCGATGATTTCTGATTTTTCGTATGCTTAATACATGAAACTGAGAGAATGTTCCGAGACTGTTACTCTATGAACTTAAATTGATTGGATTAGATTAGGATGGAAATTGAGAGAGATTATTACATAGTTGAAAACCAAACAGAAATTTAAAAAAAAAAAAAAAAAACAAAAAAAGGCAATAGACTATAAGCATTAAGCAATACATCGAATTCTTAGTTCTTTATAGATTCTCTCAAATGTCATCTTCTTGATATAAAGGCATTTTATTAATGGCCTCAATTAGTGTTACGGTACCTAGGTTGTGGATAGCGTCCTGACTCAATGTCATTCACATCCCTAATAAGCAATTCATAGTGTCGCTTTACTTCTTCAGTTGATTTTCCACCAACTGCCCTTGCAATTTTTTGCCAACGGTCAGGAGTCTCCTTGTCATATTTTGCCAACGCCATTTCGAATTGCTTGTCCTCTTTAGCTGTCCATGATGAGTTGCTGATTGAGCTGGAAGCCATTAGTGAAAATGTGGATCAAAAGTGAGGAATTGAGAAGGTTGGTTTGTATTGATGACGAATAGAGATGATTTGAATTGGTTTAGTTTGAGGGAGTGTGGAGCTCCTTATATGTAGGAGGAGAAAAGCAATGTGTGGGGTTATAAGCCAGTTGGAAGAATATATACTTTGAAATGAGAGATTTTTAGAATGACCATTCTTTTAGCAACCACATAAAATTTTAGTGAAGGGACAAAAGTTCTGATAGATGTTTTGATATGATGATCATTTAGAGTCTAGTCCCTTAAAGGACATAATAAAGGTTTAATAGTTTAGTGGAATGAGATTCTCTTGACCATTGCTATTAGGAAATTAGGAGGCTTCCTTTTTCTTGCTTGTGTCCGTAAAGTTTACCAATAATTATTGGACCCTCCCTTACCTCTTTCAGCATTTTGGATCTTATCATCATTAGTGTCGAATTAATTAAACCCCTATCGTATCCGATACTATTCATAAAGCATGTGATTGTTAAGCTTGTGTTTAATATTTATTGCAATTTTTTTTTATCTTGTATGATTGAGAAATTTATAATCTCTATAGAGTTCCTCTTTGCAAATGATTAGCAAGTTAACTTTTATTTTATTTTCCATCGCGGGATTGTGACAAGAAGAGAATCTTTGCCATTCTTGGTCCCATGATCGTTGAGCAACTTCAGGTAATCTTACATTTACTGGTTTTTATTGAGCATCTATAGAGAAAAGAAGATGATTTCGTGAATTTTAAAGCTAGCCTATTATGTCTGATGCTTTAGCTAGTACTTGTAGGTGAATTGTTAAGCTTGTGTGTAATATTTCTTGCAATTTTCCATCTTGTGTGATCGAGTAAAATATCTTGTTAAGTTATTCTTTGCATTGATAGATGTCTTTTCGATCTGATTAGCTCTCTGTTGAAGTCTTTAATCACCGGACTGCGACAAAAAGCGAATCATACCATTATTGGCTTCAAGATCGTTGAGCAACTTGGGTAATCTATACATTTACTGGTTTATATTGAGCATCTATCGAAAAGGACGATGATTTTGTGAATATTAAACCCTATTTATGTCTGGTGTCTTTAGCTAGTAGGTGTACGTCAGAACATGATTCCAGTTATTAGACAATAAGACAAATCTCAGACGACACATAGTACTAAAAAAGATGTACTTTGGCATAATCAGAGATTTTAGCCCTCTAAAACATGTTCATTCGTGGGTGCCACGGAATAACATTCTTTAACAATGATATGTCCATTTATTAAAAAGAAAAATTAATCAAAGATGATTCCTCACTAATCAAACCATTTGTTTTTCTTTTGTGCAGCCTCTTCTAAACTAGTAATTCTTCTTGTGTAAATCTCTTCGATCTCTTGGGATTTAGTTCTTGAATCGAAATTTACTGGCCTAGAGATGGGAAAAGCAGCACATTTTATAAAGAATATTCAGGTGTTCTTGTCTTCTTTTTAATTTTCACCTTTGAACATGGTTAGAGAATCGGACTAATTCTCCAAATCTTGGGATCTTATCTTCGAGAGATCTTCTGCGCCTTTCTTACGCTTGTTGTGCTTCTTTGTTTAAAACATTTATGGAACTTTCGTACCTAAAATAAATGTGTTTACCTCTAACTTTGCGTGGTAGCTCCACTTGCATATGTAGTGTTTTATTTTTATACGAAAAATAATTAAATAAATGACATTAAAAAATGAGTTATGAACTCTTTGATCTATATGTTTTAAATACAAATACATTTGGGGAAACTAAGCATTGTAAAATATGTGTTTGATAAAAACACACAAAAAAGAGAGAAACCCGCTAATTATTTTGAGAAACCATATCGATGTCAAAACTCGCATAGTCACTAAGAGTGTAAGACTCGCAATGTTCGGATACTCTGATCTCCTTGCCACCTTTGAGGTCATTTTCTTTTTCGTCTTATTTTCAAAATCATTTTCGTCGATGATGACCATAATTCATTACTTCATGCATTCGCAAACCTTACGACTGCAGATCATACTTTTAAGTATGTTATTTCACGAGCGGTCTTATGAAGCTTACCTTTGCGATCCTCGACTTTAAGAGACATTTATGGCCTTTTCCTTCGAACGCAAGGGCGGACCCACTAACAAGAAACGAAGGTCACTTGACCTGGTAAAATAATGATATACATTTTCGTGCATGTAAATTTCTAAGAATATGACACATAACACGTCAAAGTCATGAAACCCAACGTATGTCCTCGATTAACCAACTAAGCTCGTGAATGACATTTAATCCCACATAAAAAAAAAATGGATGCCTTAGCAGTAATGTATACAACAGTCTACTATGATCCCTTCGTCATGTGCCACTCGTACTGGCTATTGGCTGTTGCTATTGACTCTGGCTATAGCCTATATGGACCATATTCGCTCTGATAAAGTAAGGTTTTCATATTTTCTTTGATCAGATTCCAATCTTTACATGATCCCTTTGAAAAGTTCAACATTCGATGTTGTGAAGATGCTCCCTCGTACTCATATGCCCACGTAAATTATTAACATTTAATTTTATATGGAAAAAAACTTGAATTACTTTTCTTTTCAAAATGAATATTATTTGTCAGGGTTTGAGTTTTTCCGATTTCAATTATCTATGACCATCCGTAAACGTTTTCAATAACTAGAAACCCTGAATTTTATTGGTTTTGGAAGATTAGGCGAAACTTTGGATAGGCTCCGGTCTTTTTTTAAAAAAACTGATTTTTTAGAACATTTTATTATGATTTCATTTTCCTTAAGAAAAAAATTCAAAAACAAAAAGTTCTCTTCATACAGTAATAACTAAAACTCTAAAATGTATATAAAGTAAGAACTTTTTCAAATATTCATTTTCATTGTACAACTTATTGATCAAAACATGCAACTCTAGTCTCTAGTGGTCCGGATTAGTATTGTCATTGTATCATGCCACATAAATAAGAGAATGAAGAGAATGTTGTGTTCTATTGACATTAAGAAGAGAGTATATATCTATACTATTAATTGGAAATCACTAAGTAATAAAAAATCCTTTAAGTTGTAGAATATTACATAAAATGCCATTGATTTTTTAAAATTTGAAAAAAGAAAAAAAAACATTTTTAAATAATCGAAAATAAATCAATAAAATAATAACTGCCCAATAATTTAGGAAATAGTTTATAGAAGATTCCATAATAAATCAAGTTATTTGATTCGAAATTGTATATTGTTTTTTTTTTTTTTTTTTTTTTTTTGACATCATTGGATCGACAGGGTCCTATCCATAGCCAATCCCTACTACGCGGGGTAACGCGACAAACTGGAGTCAAACTCCGGTGGAGAAGGCGGAGTCAAATAGACTTAACCGCTTGACTAAAGGCACATCTCCAAATTGTATATTGTTTTGGTAATATATTATTAGATATTTCTGGTAATCTAATTTAATGTAACAAATTATCATTTATTTAGATTTTAATACATTTAATTATGATTAGTAGTACACATGAAAAAGACGATTTTAATATTTTATTTTCCAAATATGAAAAAATATTTATCATATTTGTCATATATAATCAAAACTAAATACTTCCATCCTTAAAAATATAACCTATTCAACAAATAATTTTGGATTTTAGATTCTAAATATCTAGATAATATTTTCAGTATAGATTAAATTCTTTTACATTTTAATTAGAATTTAAATGATATAAATTTTGAAATATATTTTTTAGAAATGGGTAGTTTTCATTATTTTAAATATATATCACTAACTAAATGTGAATTATATAAAAATATATATTTTTAAAACGTATTATAATAGTTACTATATCTCCAAATTATTTTATTTAGAGCCAAATAAATTAATATATCAAATCAAGTAAATTATTTTATTACGTCTCAAATTGTTACAAGCTTTTGGAATATATATTCTTCTAAATTCGATTATTTTATTTTTTCAAACAACATTAAAATATAATTTTAATACAATGTTTAAATTTTCAATGCAAATACTTCAAAATGAGAAAATATTCATTCACACCAATATTCTTATTTTTCTATTAAATTTGAATAGCTTCTTTTCTGGAAAGAACATTAATAATATCCCAAGTATCATTTGCTTCTAAGGCATTCACCTCTCCAAACATTGTATTGCACCATTTCTCATCAATAACTGCTTCCGAATATGACATAGGAATCGAAACAACAGTAATAGCAGCCATAAACACTCTCTGTGAATCAGAAAATCGGTTACAATTCACATAATTTGCAATGGGATATAAACCCGTACCTGGACCAGAGGACGCTGATTGGGAGGAGGTAGGTGAGAGTGTGGGTTGATCGGATGAGCAACATGTAGTATATAAAACATACTCCTTTAGATGACCCAGAAGTTCCTTTTCCCTCTCGCTTTGATAAACTTTAAGCATTGTCCCTTTCAAATTATCATTCCCCGATTTATCAACACTCCCCCTTTCGTCTAAAGCAGTAACCAATGACTCTCCAGTACCCTCAGACCCCGAATTTTCTCTGCAAGACATACCAGGTAAGGGATCGATCGATCCAGGAGGCGGATCGATCGATCCAGGAGGCGGATCGATCGATCCGTCCGTCTCTGTCTCCCCTGGCGATCGATCCTTGGGTTGGATCGATCGATCGGTTAGCTTCTGGAATTTCTTGAATGTCACCATCTCCTCTGTGCTGCGGTGGATCGATCGATCCATGCGTTAGATCGATCGATCCGAAAATCCCTGGAAAACCCAACTCGTCGTCTACATGTAAGGGATCGATCCCTACACTGGATCGATCGATCCCTGCACTGGATCGATCGATCGCGGCTCCTCTAACTGAAACAGGAAAACGTCTTCTTGAAACACCACATCTCGAGATACAAAGAATTCAGACTTCTCTAAATCATATAGGTTCCATCCCTTCTGACCAAATGGATAACCCATAAACATACAACATCGAATCCGTTCCCCAAACTTATCCTTATCACGTAAAACATTGCGAGCATAACATAGGCTACCGAAGACTCATAAGGTAGTAAAATTAGGTACCACACTAAACAGAAACTCATACGATGTCTTCCCATCAAGAACTGAAGATGGAGTACGATTGATCAAATGACACGCAG